ACATCCCACCTCGTGGAGGCTCTGGCTTGCCACCTCCTCCACATCCCATGGATCCGCCTCGCGAGGTTCAGGTGATCCCCCTTGGGACCCACCACTCGCCGATCCACCACTCCCTGCTCCTCGAATGGTTCAAATAACCGAGGATGCGCTTCAACGCATGATAGCAGAAGCTTCAACTCGCGCTGCCACAGAGGCCGTGACCCAATATATCGCCAAGATGGGAGCAGATGCTCCCAACGCTGTACCAGCACCTGCTCCACATATGGAGCCACCAGTGGCACCCCCGCCATCGACTCCCTGGGGGCTTACATCTGCCCCCAAAATATTTCGCTCGCCAAAGGTTATCGACTCCCTGGGGGCTTACATCTGCCCCCAAAATATTTCGCTCGCCAAGGGTTATCGACTCCCTGGGGGCTTACATCGCCCCCAAAATATCTCGTTCGCCAAGGGTTATCGACTCCCTGGGGGCTTACATCGCCCCCAAAATATTTCGTTCGCCAAGGGTTATCGACTCCCTGGGGGCTTACATCTGCCCCCAAAATATTTCGTTCGCCAAGGGTTATCGACTCCCTGGGGTTTCACATCGCCCCCAAAACATTTCATTCGTCATAGCAGGAGCCAACGCTCCTCCTCGTGAGGCCCCACTGGGTCCTCAACATGATCAATTTCTACTTACTACTAACGGTTCAAATAACCGAAGAAGACCTTCAGCGTATGATCACGGAAGATTCAACTCGTGCTGCCACTGAATCAGTGGCACCATATATCGCCAAGGTTGGGCATCTCACCCCAGATGTTCGTGATTGCCTCATCCTAAATGGGGGGCTATCACATCCTAAAGTTGGGCATCTCATCTCAAGGGTGGTACATCCACTTACCTTTCAACCCCAAGGGGTTTCACATCCCATCAAATGTTTCACGTCCCTACTTCAAAAACAGAAAAAGGGTCAAACGCGCACGCGCGAACCAATGGCACAACCGTGCGCATCCACCTTAGACCATAGGTCTCGAGCGCCTCATCCTACAGTGGGCAGTTATCCCCATCCTAAGGTTGGGCATCATCCTAAGTGGATTCACATCCCACCTCAAGGAACGAGGATAATCTCCCTACTAAAAAAATAGAACATCCCCAAGGGGGTGCACATCCCATCTCAAGGAACGAGGATAATCTCCCTACTCAAAAAATAGAACATCCCCAAGGGGGTGCACATCCCATCTCAAAGAACGAGGATAATCTGCCTGCTCAAAAAATAGAACATCCAAAGGGTGAACATCAACCACCAAAAAGAAAAGAAAAAAGGGAGGTAAAATCGCGCACGCGAAACCCATGAAAAAAAAAAAGATGAGAAGAAAGAAAAATAAGAAAGAGGAAGAAAAAAGAAGAAGATGAAGAAAAAAAAAAGCAAAGAAGAAGAAAAAAAGAAGAAAATGAGAAGAAGAAAAGAAAAAAGAAGAAATTTAAAAGAAAAAAAGAAGAAGATGAAAAATAAGAAG